AGGAAGACAAGCAGAGACAGGAAGGGCCAGAAAAAGAGGGAAAAGTTCACAAAGGGAGGGAGGAAAAAGAGAATGACAAAGGAGAATGGGAGAGGAAGGAAGGAGGAATGGGGTGGCAGATCCTGAAGAGCCAAGGACACTAATGGAGGGAGGCAAAGAGAAGAGATGGGCAAGGAGAGACAGAGGAGTTACCATAGTAGTTAGGAGTGTGAACTGTAGATCTGGATCAATTAGACCAGTGGTGATTTTATGATCTGTCACACACACACACAGTTCACCTATTGAAGAAGGGGACAATAAATCCAGTGTCACATGGGTATTGTTAAAAGTAAATGTGATGTTTGTAGAGATAGGACTGGGCCTGGTTACATAGTAAGGGCTCAATAAATCATCAATTTTTTAAATGAGAGAAACGAAGGAGAGCAATGGAGCAGGAAAACTGAGGGAAGGGAGAGGAGAGAAAGAGGGCAGAAAGAAGGAGAAGACTCCAGATGATGCGGGATACTGGAGAAGAGAAAGAAGGATTAAAGTAGTAGTGGGTGGGAAGGGATGGTCTCCCCTTGGAGTGGAGAGGGCATGGGGTCTGGAAGCAGCCGGCCCTTCCTCCTCCTCTCCACCTCCATTCCCTAACCCCAGGGAGGGCATGCCTGAGGTTGAACCTTCCCTTTTCTTACACAGGGACCCCAATGACCCCCGGGACCCCAAAGCCCCGCAGTGGCCACCGTACACGGGGGTAGCACAGCAGTATGTGAGCCTCAACCTGCGGCCTCTGGAGGTGCGGCGGGGCCTGCGCGCCCAGGCCTGTGCCTTTTGGAACGGCTTCCTACCCAAATTGCTCAGCGCCACCGGTACGTAGGGACCAGCGGGCAGGGGCTGGGCAGAGGGGGAAGAAATGGGGCGCGGAGAGAGAGTGGGGATTGGAAGCCGGCGGGGTGTAACCCCTCTCTTCTCCCCACCAGCCTCGGAGGCTCCCAGCACCTGCCCAGGCCCCGCCCACGGGGAGGCTGCCCCGAGGCCCAGGCCTGGCCTCCCCCTGCCCCTCCTTCTCCTCTTCCTCCTCCTCTCCCGGCTCCGGCGGCTCTGACCACGGCCTCTTCCCCCTCCGGCCTCAGGGGACCCCTCCTCTGAGTGGTCGGACCTGGGGAAGGGCCCCACTCAGGGATCTCCGACCCAGCGGCCCCTCCGTCCTCAAACCGAGAGACTCAAACTGGACAGGGCGTGGGGAGGGGTGACCTACGACCGGTCTCAGGGACTCACACGCCTTTGTTTAAATGGAAATGAAAAAAGCCAGTTTTCTTTTTTTATAAAATTATTCCTTGGAGCCTGAGCCTGGTGTTGGGGAGAGAGGGAAGACCCTGGGCTAGATATCACCTCCCAGTGGGGCTATAACCGTCAACCATTTCTGTCTCTTCTCTTTCCCTATCAACCCACGGATGCTCCCCCGCTTCTGATCCCTTCGGTCCCCTTGTCTTCCGGTCATTTTCTCCCCCCTCCCTCCTCCCTTCTCCCTTCCGCCATCCTTCTCTGGCCCCGCCTCTAACCTCATCCTACCCGGTCCTTCGTCTTTTTCATATCTACCCGATCCTCTTTCCACCATCCCACGTGGCCTCCTGCTTGCTCCTTGTGTCCTCCTGCACTCACAACCCTCACCCGTTGTCCGTCCCCCGACCTTCCCCACGTCCTCCTCCCACCCACTTGCCCGGCTCCCTGGCCGCAGACACGCTGGACGAGGCGGAGCGCCAGTGGAAGGCCGAGTTCCACCGCTGGAGCTCCTACATGGTGCACTGGAAGAACCAGTTTGACCATTACAGCAAGCAGGATCGCTGCTCAGACCTGTGACCCTGGCGGGACATCCACGATCCGCCACCCTACACGCCCCTCCCGGCCCTCTAGCTGTATATACTATTTATCTAAGGGCTGGGATATTACAGAAGAGCCCTAGACCCACCCCTATTTTTCCCCCGGGGCTCCCGATCCTCAGCATGTCTCGGCTGAGCCCCCTACCCCGCGGTGCCTTCGCCCCTCTGGGCTGCCAATAAACTGTTACAGCCAAAGGCGTGTGCGCGACTGGGAAGAGGGGGTAGGGCTGAATACCCAACCACTGGAGCTGAGGGAATGGAGGGGTGGTCGCTGAAGCCCGCAGACTGGCCCACTCAGAGGTGGGACACAAGGCGCGCGCACCAGCCTC